GCTAAAATAGTAAAATATGTATTAGGTATAGGTAGGTACATATATCATATGATATTTATACATCGTATTATAGCTTAAGCTATATACAGATATATGTATAGTATTTCATATTATTATAGTATATGCAATGTATATTATGCATATATATATATACCTATATTACAATGTTAATGGTCGTTTATACTTCTATAGTATAGGTGTGATAATTTATATTATCTATATTCTGTTGATTTTTTTGTAGTTATTGGAGTTATATTGTTTATCTATAATTTCTTAAAAACATATTTAAAAGGGTTAATGTTTATTTTATAATAAGCAATCTAAAATCATATTCAAAGACTGAGTTTTAACCACTATAAATTTAACCCTCTTTCCCTAACAAATTTAAACAAATTTTTTTTATAAATAACAAATTTTTATAATGAATTAAAAATAAGCTTATGAAACGGGCTAAGATGAAGGCGGTCGAATTTACTTTAAGAATAAGAGGTTAGGTAATAGTAGGTAGTTGTAATATGAAGTTAATGTTATATATAAAGTTATTTATTATTTTTGTAATTTAAAGTGCAATAAATATAAAGCCCTCCGATAATCCTGACGAATCGGTAGTCCGAATGATGCTCGGTCTAAATTCGTCCAGACTATCGAGGTTCTAATGAATATTTTTTTTTTATAAGGCAACTTAGAGTACGTGTTAATTAAGTGTACCTATTACCTTACCTTTTTTGGTACTTGTATATCGGATTTGTCTTACTAGGTATTTTTGATTGATATATTTTCAGGTTTTAATAAAATATATTTGTGAATTATACACTAAAATAATATTATAATAATCGAAAAATAATACAAATAAAAGTTAATTTAATAAAGAGCATAGATTTTAGAGATCGAACGATTAATGAGCGGATACTGAGTGGGTGACTGAATACGTTTTTGTGTGTCATTTGGGTTTTTATTGATTATGTTCTGAGATGCCGCCTTATTAGTTATTTGAACGTAATTAAAGCATAGATTACGACATCTCTCAAACATCTGTGTGTTGTACTATTATATTTATATGTGAATAATTGGAGTATTGATAATTCTGTAATCTGTAGTATTTCTTAAATCTAAATGTTCTCTAATTAAATGTAATAAAGATATAAAATTATGTACATAAATATATAATGATTATTAATTATACTATATTATAATTTATTTTCTTAAATCTAAATGTTGTATAATTAAATGTAATAAAATTATAGTATAATAAATATAATTTATTTGTTAAGCCTAAATTTTATCTAATAAGTATTTACAATTAAATTTAAACTATAATGATATATTAATATATTATTATATATATGATATATCATTGCAACATGTTTAAAAAACTAATTCATTTGGTAATAAATAGTATTTGAAATATTATAAAATGATATTTTACTTAGTTTCCATATTATATCACGTCTTTTAAAGATTTAATCATTACTTATTTTAATTTTTTTAACTTCGCTTTTTTTGTTTTACACGGAGTTTTTTTGGTGAGTAAAATTATACACAATACATTTTATATTTGTGGAGTGTAGAGAGCGGCGTAACTGTGTAAGTAATGTTAAATTTTTTAAAAGCGCATAATAGAGGTACGGAAGTTAAAAAAAATCTTTTTGGCAATAAATTACATAATTCATTTATTTCTACATACATTATATCTTTTAATACGATAATATTTTCAAAATTATATGAAAATATAATTATTATACTATTATATATATAATAATATATATATATATATATTATATATTATTATTATTTGAAATGTATTTTAATTGTTGTAGTATTTACACACAAAATAATATATGTAGCAGTGGAAGCTCGCACCATGCGGCATAGGAAATAATTGAAACAAATTAAGTATATTATTATATTAGATATGATATAATTTAAAATAATATATTTTAATTATACATTTTTATAAGCTACCAGTAGTAGGATTATCTTACTTAGAAATTTTCAATTTGAAAGTTGATGGGGAAATAAAAAAAAACTAATAAGTACAAAAAAAACTTATTTTACTTATTTTTTTTGTAATAATTATTATTTATTATAAATAACCATCGTCACCGATATCATCAGTCGATGCTATTTGTCTACACATTATGCTATGAGTATCTATTTTTAGATTTAAAACAGCGATCGCAACTAGCAACATATAGGACTAATGCGAGCGACTTACGGACGTTTTGTCTTAATAGTTAATAGTGTTTATACCATCTCTATTTTCAACAATTTCACAATAAATTGAACTAGATATTTAACGATGTATACACTTAAGGATATTTACACTATTTACAAATTTAATGTGTTTTTTGTTAAAAATTATAGTAAAATAATAAATATTTATTAATTTTTAATAGGTACTTTGCACAATATTTTAATATTATGTTATGTAATATTTATAAAAATTATTTAGACTATTAAAATTTTAAATGCTGCCCCCCCCCCAAAAAAAAAGCCTCATAAGCGTGTACCATGTCCTCAAGCTCTTAAGCCGGGCCTGCGTGTATCGATGAACTATAAATAAAACAAATATCAGTATGTTCCATACTCATAATATCTCGGATCGTCGACTAGCAAATAGCAATACGGCAGCAATTTGATTTTTAGGGTCTGATATAAGACGTACTTAACCCAGTTTTATATTTTTTATTAATTAATTTGAAAACAGCTATACAATATGAATTGTAATCTAAGCTTAATGAGTAAAAAGATAAAATGTGATACTTATTGCATATTTTAACATTTAAAAAAAAATACAAAGTATTATTCATACAATTATGTTTATAGTATTAATTTCTTATGCACAATTTAACATATAATAAATATACGATTGTAGATACTAGAAGGTATTAATCTACATATCTACATATTTTTACTATTTAGATAATAGATAATAGATAAAATTATCAAGCAATTTTTTTTAATTTTTGTTAAGACGAGTAAATATTAAAATACTGAATACATACAATACATAATGTGGATTGAAATTTATACATGCTAATATAGTAATATGCTACTGATTAATAATTCAATTTATTTTATAATTACCTATTGTAAAAATAAAATTATTTATTTATTGATTAGTTTTCAACCGAAAATTAGAAATTATAGTTCAATAGGTTGGTATGATAATATTTTATAGTTATTACTTATTAGTTGGATATTTGAATATACATGATATAGAATATGGATATAAATATTTAACAAATATTAATTAGTTAATAACTAATAAAAATGAGACATAATTTAAAAATAAAGGTAGGTAATCATAAAATGATAACATTTTTATGAATTAAACATAATAGTTGTATTATAATGTCAATTATAGAGCTTTTATACTTAACAGTAGGTATCGCGGTTATAGATACTAGTGTGTGTATCTAGCCGAGCCCCAAGGTAAGTATAATGTATACATAACTATAGATATTTAATACTAAATAATTAATAGTTGTTTAATCATTAAAGAGTATATAAGAACGATATGATTGAGTGTTAAGTATTGATGTATGAATCTATGCATTTAAAAATTCTAATAAATGGATCAATGTAGAGATATTTTGATAAAACTGGCTAAATATTACTTAAAATTTAAATTAAATATTTTAAATTTTTATTGCCTTGTTTATATTATTTAAATCAAAAAAATGTTGATAAAAAGCGACTATTAAAATGATTTTATACTAAATGTTTTTAATTATTAATATGCCATAGGCATGTCAGTTCTAGTTACGCCACTACTCAAGCTTTATATATTAAATTCTTTGATTTGCGACTCTCTAAGGTACGGTTTTCAAGGCGCGATATGTCACGGTGACCGGAAAACGCATTAAAATGTAACACAAATATCAGTGTTATCTATCTTTAAAATTGATAATAAATCAATTTACTGTAAATTATAATAAACTAATAAAACTAAACATAAAATTCTGAAAATAAATTTTTCATGTTACCCACTTATAAGATAAAGAAAACAAAGTAATGTGATGGTCTAATGAATAATTATAATTGTGCATTGAAATAAGATTTTTCAAATTGAAATTAAATGCATGACTTAAAAACATGGAATAATAGTTAATACTCATTGCTTATAATTTATATAAATAAATTGACAAATTAAACAATGTATATGATATAAATTTATACATATATTAGTAAGTCCAAAATGTCAAACAAAATCTTTAATTATATTAAACATTATTGTGCTTTATTATTATTTTTTTTTTTTTATATTGTAAAATATTAAGAATATTAGAGCCCTAGATAATATTATTATTTCTAAAACTAGTAATAGTCAATAGATTGTCCTTTTAGTATTAAAAACAACAGAGTAAAATAAGTTTATTTTGAACATAAATCATAATATTTAATATGTTATGAGTTAGTAAGATGGATATAGTACATTTGTGTAAAAAGTCCTCTATACCTTTTTTTAATAGACTTGAAATACTGAAATAAGTTAAATAAATTAATATTCAACTTTATTACTCTTTTAGAAAAAATTCTTTAAAATAAAATCAGTCTTAAGATTACCGAGCTATTTGGTAAACAAAAATACATAAATTAGTTAATTGTTTATTAGTTTTTGTTTTGTTTATTTAAAAATATTCAAATGAAATTATTATTTACATAGTATTGGTATAAAAATTAAATTTATAATACATTGTTTAATTTCATTTTCAAATTAAAACTACAATTTCAACGCATTTTATTTTGAGCAATTTAATTGTTTTTAAGAGCATCACATTTTCAGCTCAAATAATAAATAATTATTCAAAATTATTACGGTATTAAATAATGAAAAAACTTATCTAAATGGTATTGTGTTTTCATTTGGAATTTTCTTACATTTTCTTATTTATATACTTTTTTTTTTTTGTATATTTTGATGTTATAGCAATAATTACTTTAATTACAATCATAATTTTTCACAATTTAAAACAAATATTTTTTTTATTAAAATTTCAAAGTTCATTAGATGTTATTTGTTTCATAATTGTAGCATAAAATACTTCGATTTTTTTTACATTTTGTATATCTGAGGTTTTAAACTGCAAGCACTGAAACAAAAATATATATTATTAAATAAATTATGTTATATTGTATAATAGATATGATGATATATATAATATATCTAATATAATGGACATAATTTATTCTTTAGAATTAAAAGACATATATCAAAGAAAATATTTAAAAATAAGGTAATTTAATTTGATCCTCAAGTATATATGAAAAGTACAAAATATCATTAAGTATATTTTACTAATATTATATAAATTAATTTAGTTATTTACCGAAATATCATCTGTTACTTTTAATTGCACAGTTGATTCACTATGGCAATACTTCATAGTGCATCTGACCTAGAAAACAAATATTTTAACAATTAAATGAGATAAATCGCATATGATGAATAAACGTATAACTACCATAACTAGTTATAGAAATTAAAGTTCTAAAAATTTCTTTTGAGATTAGCATGATAATATGAAATGTGTTTAGATCCATAAATATCTGAGTGATTGTTTCACTTAATATATTTGGAAGTGTAGACATCTTAGATTCTAAATCATATTTATGTTTACACATAAACATTGTAAAATTAGTAAAATAAATAATAATTTTAATACTTGTTTAACCCTGCCATCAACTTGTCTAAAATTTATATAAGTTAAATATGTCATCTATATAAAAAAAGATCGTAAATACCTCAAATTATATTTGAAACTTTATTTTATTATGTTTTTAGCTTATCATAACAATTTTAAAATAATTATATTGTTTTGATTGAAATTTAAAATCTGATTTTGTTTTATTTAACTATTAAAATTTTTTTTAATAAAGCATACAAAAATAGATATTTAAGCAATAAAATATTTTATATTGTAGTGCTAAATTTTTAACTAAAATTAGACTTTGCTATTTTATATTTATAATGATTTACTAATACAAATGTACAAATGTTAAAACAATTTTTTTGTAATGATATTTGGCATATTTTTTATTATTTGTCTAAACAAATGTTAAAGTAATATGATTAATATTTTTATGTTGCAAAACTAAAATGCTTAGTAATTTATAAACAAATTATAATATTTAAATAATTAGATAGTTTTATGTGATTTTATTTTACAGTTAACTGTTAAGTTTAAAGTATAAAGTGAAAGTGTTAACAAAATGGTAAATTACAGTAAGTAAATATATTTTGTTTAAATTGAAAAGAATTAGTTAATATTTATGCTTTTAAGTAATTAGTTGAAGAATTAGTAAAGTACCTGTCTGCATGTTTAATACAAACATGTTGTTATTACAAAAACTTTTCTTTGAAATATTCAAATACAATAAATAACAACACATATGAAATGTTAACTTAGATGCGCTTGTAAGCGAACAAAGTATAATGGTAATGAAATGTTTCGTTTTTAATACTACAAATACATATTTTCATGGCAAGGCGCGAGATTGACACCATTAACATTATGTTTCTAACAAAATAATTAAACGTCATTCACCCTGGTAGGATCTTTGAGGAGCAGATTGTACGAAGCGGTTTCAAATTCCTTCCATGTCTTTAAATACATGTCGACGTTCGGATAATCGTCTCGCTGAAAAATATTACTGTCGGAGGAGAAAAGCAGAACTGTCAGAACGTCAACCGATGAAAATGTACATCGGCGATGTGCTTCTTTTTCTGAAGTGTATCCACGATGGCGAATACAAAAGCACGGCAAACAATACGAATTAAACACAAGCTACAAAACCGCTACGATAACGCTTATCAATGTCGTCGTGCAAATAGATGGTGACGTCGGTATTCCTAATGATTTGATAACAATTGTAATAATTTGATAAAAGATGTGGGACTGTTTGCAGGTGATAAACAAATTGGCACACGTACCTGACACCTGTTCAATAAATTACATAATGTTAAAGCATAATATACAATTTAATTGGCTTCGATTTATCCAAACAATTATGCAACTTTAGTCTTTATTTAAGGGTTTGTCTTTTTAGGTAAAAATTTAATTTAGTTCACTGTGTAAGTGGATAAAAAGTTTAAATTTCTATAAAAAAATTAATATATTCTGTACCTACCTACCTACTTATTAGTACCTAGGTAATACCTACTTACCTTAGTTTTGTACTAAAATATTCAAGATTGGTGGTTTTCAAAAAAATGTACCTAGATTTATGCTGTAATACGAAAATATATTATATTTCCCAATTAATGTGCACATGTGCAGTCCAAATTCATTGTATCTAAATAAAGTAGATTTTTAATGTATAGATATGAAATTATGTTAGTTTTAATTAACTTATCAATTCCATGAACTAATATCTATTCTTGATTTATTATTTCTTGGCTTTACCTACTTACACAACCTTCTACTTATAAAGTATAGATGGTAGGCGTATTAGCATGCAGAGATGTTGTACCTATCTATTCACTGTTGTAAGGCTTTCAAACTGCTTTTAACTTCAAAATCTCGTGAACTTAAACATGCTGTATCTTAAGGCTTTATATTGCACACTTGTACGCCTTATTCAAGAATATGGTAGTGTTTTGTGGGATCTCTCCACCGCATACGTCTGCAAAGTGGTTAAAAAAAATCTAATGACACAATTGATTCCGTCCAGTGTCGTTCACAAGACTAGCACATACCAGCTCAAGATTGTCTTCTGCTTTCAAGTATTGTTTATAAAAGATATACGGTAAACCTAAGAATTTTTTTAATTCTATTATCTGTAAATAATACTTGTATTGAGTATTTGAATAAAAGTAGTTACCTAATTGAAAATACATTTATTTGTGATGTATAAATGTGAAAATAAAACTTGGAAGTTAGATTGTATTTTACCATTCTTACCTATTCTGTAGTATGAATTTATCTGATTTTATACCTATTAATATGTTTTTTATATTTTTTAGAAATACTAATCTACTTACATAATGATTAAAACTTGGTAGAAATTGTACACAGACTTCAAAAACTGATCATACAGTAAACGAGAAATTTGTAAAAAAGATTATGCGAAAAGGAATACCAAAAAATAAAAATATTAATAAAATTTTATAGAAATAATATTTATAAAAAGGTAAGCACTGCTTTGTAAATTAGGTATCGAGTGGGTATAACTGTGGTTATGGAAATATTAAATTTGAATTAAATGATATATAATTGTATACGAAAAACGGTTTTAAGCGGAGACGGTCTGTCGAATGTCAGTTTAAATCACCAAATATCTTTCATGATACGTATTTTGATACAGCCTATAACAAAATAATTAACATCAATATTCATTATTCATTGTCAATATAGGTAATTTTATTCAAATTTTAACTTCTTCAAATGCCTATAAGTAATTTGTGCTCGTATAAGTTTTAAATTATGCAATATAAAATAAAATAGTCCAGTTTAAAATATTTAAGAGTAATATTATATTATATTTTCAAACCTTAACTAAAAGGATTCTATTAATTCATAATTAGAAAATTCTTGTATGGTTATAGCAATTTTTGTGATTTTAACACATGTTGTAAAAATTTTAATTTCAAATATATATTTGAAATTAACAAATTTGTGCATATGTATTTTTAATAATTTTATACTGATATAATGATATAAGAACAACTAAGATGGGATCTTGAATTAAATTTTCAAGAATTTCGATTAGGCGAATATTTTTTTATTGGCATATTTAGAAAAAGAAACTAAAAAAAAATAATAAATATCAATAATTTCTCATACTTATAAATAGCTTAAGAAGAATTGAATCATCTTGAAAATGTTATCATAAAATTAAAAGTATTTATATTAATCTGTTTTGGAATTATATAAAAAAAAAAAAGTCGTTCGGTAGAAATAGTTATTAAACTGATGAATATCCGTTAAGTTGCATTGTTTAAAATATTTAAACTCAAGTAGTTATAAAAATGAATTTGATTTTCCATTAGAAGTTTTTTTTTTTATAATCTGTAGAATTTAAGATAAACTAACCTGTAGTTAACCGGTTTAGCAATATTTGGAATACATAGAAATATTTATGTCCATCTTGAGAAAGTAATCAACCGTTTTTTCTAAAAATTTAGAGTTTTTACTGTCAAGTTGAATTTTATTTTATATTATATAGTATGTGTATTTAAATAATTATTAACAAAATTTATTAATTTATGTATGGGTGAATAAAATACACATGTTTAATTGCTTCAAAGCGTTTAAAAATTATTCATTATGACCATTATGTTATACACGACTTAGGTAGGTACTAACATTTGGTTACCCTCACAAAATTTGTTCTGAGTATGGCCTTAATAAATATTATAAGTTTAATTTATTGTTATTAAGTTATCAGTCATCAAAAGAAATAAAATTAGCAATATTTATATTATAATATATATATTTATTTATGTATTAAAAAATTAATATTTTTTTTTTGTTTCTAAATTATGACATTTGGTAATAGTGAAAACGATATGTTTAGTAATTATTTACCTTTTAAATGTTAATTTGAACCTTCGCTAGATGTCGAGTTAGAAGTAAAATTATTTAGATCAAAATTATGAATATAAACTTGTGAAATCTTGTTTAAAATTAATTCAATAACTAAAAAGGATTCTGGACATTTTGTTGGACATAAAATTTATTGATTCCGTTTTGTTGACTTTTTTGCCTAAATGAGCCAAGATATTTTAGAGATTCAAGAAATATAATATGACATTTAACTCGTTGAGTGCCGTGGTATTTATGATGGTTGTATAGTGAGTTTCCACAAAAAATTATACATTATATAAATTAAAATTTACAGTAAAAAATAGTATGAATATATTCTGCATTATATTTACTGGGCACTACCCAATCCATATTTAAACGAAAATTCATTGTAGAAAAATATTTAACTATCAAATGATTAAATATTTTGGCTTCAATATTTTATCAATTCGAACAGATACGGCTTATTTTACATTGCCCTAAAGTTCCTATACACGCTATTTTCGGGTTGTTAATAAAAATATTTTTCCACTTTAAAATTACGTAAATTATATCAACTGATCGATTGTATAGTCTAGTCGTATCATTCCAATGCAATGAAACGTTGAGTAACGAGTGATTTGTATTCAGATTAAGGATCAAATAGTATATTCAATTCAACTAAGTTAGTTGTTTGAATCTTTTAAATAGCAATATAATCTAATTAAATATTTTTAAATGGAAATATAATATTTTGTTTTATGCAAGCATTTTAGCTTTGTTATACACAGCAGAATGTTTACAACGACGCTTAAACAATTATGTATTTATGTTAAAAAACTACATACCTAATTAGGTATTCCAAAAAACATGCATTTTTTTTTTTTGTATAACTGGTAAAAATTATAATTTACTGATGATTAACTTGTACTTTGTTGCTAATACTTATTTAATATTTTCCGTGGTTACTTTTAATTGAGTTTCTGAATTAATTAATCTTCTGTTTAATGATTATCATTTAGATTTTTTTTTTTTGCTAACTCGAGTACCTTATTGAATAATTAAATCGTTTATGATTACATTCACAATTGAAAAATAATAATGTTCGAGTAGATATACTAAAATTTTAATGACTGCATAAATTAAACAAACATTTTTAATTATTTGCTCTGTATTTATGATTTTAGGTACTCTTTGTATATCTAATTATGGATAATTTTTATTTTAGACTCATTTGAGACCAAAAAATATACTCCTATAAGTGACTAATAATGGAGATAAGATAATGTTTTCTTGAAATAATATGAGTATCAAGAAATGTACTTCAGCTTAAACTTTTTTATTATGAATTTGATGTTACGTGAATCTTAGTAATTTTTTATTGTCTAATGTTTTTAATTAGTATTAAAATTAACTGTAATTTATACAAACTATTTACATTTAAGTATAAAATTACCTTTTTATTCTTAAATTTGAAATGTTAAACTGGAGGACGAAAAAGCCATCTCAAAGTGTACAGCACAAATACTCCGGTAAGAAAATATTTTTTACTATTAGATATTTTATATTTAAATACATATTAAAGATACACGCAGCTTTCATTATTTACACATAATTATTTTATACAATATAATATAATGCTATATAATATTTAAAATTTAAATTAATATTTACAATATGAACAATACTGTAAATTGTACCTATATGTAATGTACGTACCTATATCTCGTACTCTGGCATAGTTATCCTAGACTCAATATATTTGTTATACTATACCTATAGTTTTGATAAAAGTTAATTTTTTTAATTAAATATAGGTAATAAATACCATATGATAACAGATTTATAAATATAAAATTTTTACTGGTTTTAAAGTTTATTTGTATATTACAAAATATATATTTCACATAGGTACAAAGGTAATCAATATTTTTAATATTAATGTATATTGGTTTAATATAAATTTAAAACTGAATCAATAATTTCTTTTTTATATTACTCTTAAAGTGTTTATAATTATAAAGAGGAATTTTAATTTAATTGATTCATTTTCAAAAAAATAAGTCATAGTTTTAGACTTCTATATCTACGCATATTACGAAAATAAATAATAAATTTAATGTTATTAGTTATTACATTTATAATCAATAATGTTTCCATAAAAAATAATGATAGGACTTAAGGATAAACATAATTTAAAGTACACAAATACGAAATCTTAATTGTTAAATCTACTAATTTATTGCTTAGGTAATAATAATTTATAATTAATTATACTGTATAATTTGT